AAATGCTCTGGTATCTTCTCACATGTATTGTCACTTCTCCCACCTTCACTCCTGTAACTTCTTTAGAACTCAGCCAAGCATCACCCTCACAAAGCCCTTCCCTCAAAACTAGAAAGTTACCACTTCACACCCATTAGAATGGCTGATCATAAACACCACACACACAACACCACACACACACACAACACACACAAATGCAAGCATTGTGAGATGTGGAGGAATTGGAACTCTTGTGGCCACTGCTGATAAGAATGTAAAGTGGTGTAGCAGCCACTGTGGGGTTCCTCAAAAAATTAATATAATAGAATTAGTGTATCCCGTAAATATGACCAATTACTATAATGCCAATTAAAGTGACTTTTTTAAATATAGTAAGACATCCGAGCCGCAATTTCAGCTTTTATAGTGAAAATGTAATTTAGTCTTTTCGAACCATGAAAAGATATGGAGAGACCTTACGTGCATACCACTAAGAGAAAGAAGCCAATCTGAAAAGGCTATATGATTCCAGCTGTATGACATTCTGGCAAAGGCAAAACTATAGAGACAATGAAAAACATCAGTGGCTGTAAAGGGATGAGGGGGGGCACAGAAAATGAACAGGTGGAGCACAGAGGATTTTCAGAGCAGTAAAACTATTCTGTACGATATTTTTTTTTATTTCGGCATATTATGGGGGTACAGATTTTAAGGTTTCAATAAATGCCCATTTCTCCCCCTCCCCCCAAAAGTCTGAGTCTCCATCATGGACATCCCCTAGGATGCCAGTGTCGCGCATCCTCACTCATTATGCTTCCGTACTACACCGCCGCCCTCCCCTCCCCATGCCCATACCTATACCTGTAGTGACCTATGTGTCCACTTAGGTGGCTACCCGTTTCTATATCAGTAATACCAGTTTGCTGGAGAATATATCTGGTGGCTGTTTTCATTCTTTGGAATACTTCAGCTACGTAGTAATGGTTCCAGCTCTAAACAGACAACATATGGATGCATGTCATCAACATTTGTCAAAACTCATAGAATCGTACCAATACCAAGTAAAATGTACATAACACGAGAGTGCGATCCTATGTAAACATGCGGATTGGTGATAACAATGTATACGGCTTCAATCTGGATTGTGGGGTGGTTGATAGTGAAGGAGTGTGGGAACCTCTCCATACTTCCACTCCATTTTGCTGTGAACCTAGAACTGCTTATTTAAAAAAAAAAAAAAGTCTATATATTTTTTAAAAAATACCTTATATGGCTTCCTGCCTCAGAAATAGTAAAATTAACT